AATGTCTTTGAAGCAATATGCAAGTTTTAAGGTCATTGAGAGAATGGTCAGTCTGGTTAAAATGGCAAGCAACAGTTTTCCATCTGTGAGAGAGCCTGATGTCTATTTTATGTGCATTGATTCTTTGGTGAAGAGTCTGAGAAGTTTGTCCAATATACACAGCAGATGGACACGTTAGGCACATGATGGCATAAATTATATTTCTAGATGAAGAGGACTATGTGTCCTTGATCTTGTAACTGGCATGTTTAGGTCCAATAATGGTGTCAGCAGAATAAATATGTGGACAAAGCTGGCACCGGGGTTTGTTGCAAGGGAAAGTTCCAGGGTTGGTAGTAGTGTGGTATGTCCTGTGGTTGTTGCTAAGAATCAACCGGCTCAGTGTCAGGTTGGCGGTCGGTTTCTAGTGGAGTGTCCCAAGGATCGGTTCTAGAACTGGTTTTGTTCAACATCTTTATTAATGACCTGGATGAGGAGATGGATTGCACCCTCAGCAAGTTTGCGGATAAGACTAAGCTAGGGGGCGAGGTAGATACATTGGATAGATACATAGGGTTAGGGTCCAGAGTGACCAGGACAAATTGGAGATTTGGGCCAAAAGAAATCTGATGAGGTTCAACAAGGATAAGTGCGGAATCCTGCACTTGGGATGGAAGAATCCCTAGTATTGTTACAGGCTGGGGACCGAATGTCTAAGTAACACTTCTGTAAAAAAGGACCTGGGAATTACAAGTGAATGAGAAGCTCGATAGGAGTCAACAGGGTGCCCTTGTAGCCAAGAAGGTTAATGGCATATTAGGGTGCATTAGGAAGAGCATTGCCAGAAGATCTAGAGAAGTGATTATTCCATTTTATTCGGCACCGATAAGGCCGCATCTGGAGATTTGTGTCCAGTTCTGGACCCCCACTATAGAAAGGATGTGGATGCAGGGGAGAGGGTCCAGCGGAGGGCAGCGAAAATAACTAGGGGGCTGGAACACATCACCTATGAGGAGCATCTGAGGGATTTGGGCTTATTTAGTTTGCAGAAGTAATAGAATGTCCAGGAGGTGAAAATACTGTACATCTGGCAACCCTATGACACACTCAGCAACCGGAACCAGGCCTGGGCCCGGACCCAGCCCCTGGCCAGCCCACAGCCCCAGCCCTCAGCTACTTCTAGACCACACCCTCCCAACCCCAGGCTCCCTCTTCTCTCTGCTTACCTGGTTCCACAGGGAAGTCGTCATGTGGCATGGAGGAAGAAAACAAGATGGCTGCCACCAAAAAAAGACCCTAAGGCCTCAAAGGGGCCATGCTGTTTTTTTAAAATTTTTACTCCCCAGGTGTCCCTGAGCCCCACCACCATTCCCTGCCATGCTCAACTCAACCCAGGCCAACCGCATAACCCAGGTATTGGGGGGGGGGGTCTATCTGCTTCCCCCTTCTGTCCCTCCTATCCCAGCTTTTCCTGGCCCCCAGTGTAAAAGTCAATGACCAAAATGCTCCAAAAGGTCCCCAAACAGGGATGCAAATCAGGCCAGAGCCCCGGGTCACTAGGGTTACCAGGTGGCTTCACAAAAAATACTGGATACACTGGATCTCAGATGCGGGGGGGGTGGATGGGAGGAACCGGCAGAGAGTAGAGCGGAGGTGGAGGGTCAGGGGAGCAGGGCTGGCTGGGAGTGGGTCAGGGGGAGTGGAGCTGGCTGTGGGAGATCGGGAGGAGGTGGGGTGGGAGAACCAGCTGGCGGGAACAGGAGTAGACAGGAGGTCAGTCAAGGGAGCAGGGCTGGCAGGGGGAGATGAGGGGGGACCAGCTGGCGGGAAGCAGGGCTGGCCAGGATGGGGTCGTGGGAGCGGGGCTGGACAGGGGAGATGGGGAGGTGGGACTGGCCAGTGGGAAGCAAGGCAGCCCAGGAGGGAGTCGAGGGGAGCAGGGCTGGCAGGGGGAGATGAGGGGGGACCAGCTGGCGGGAAGCAGGGCTGGCCAGGAGGGGGTTAGGGGGGAGCAGAGCTGGCCAGGGGAGATGGGGGTGTGTGAGACTGGCCAGCGGGAAGCAAGGCAGCCCAGGAGGGAGTCGAGGGGAGCAGGGCTGACCTGGGAGGGAAGAAAGGGAGGAGAGAATCAGCCAGCGGGAAGTGGAGCTGACCTGGATTCAGATCCTGGGGCGCTGTCCATCTCGCACACAGTCCCAGAGATGCACGAGTGAATCCGGCCCCAGGGACTCCATCCCACCCTGGCCCCGCACCCACTGTCGCATAGTTGCATACTGCCTGGATGGGAGACACACTGACGCAGCATGGGAGTGTCTACCAGCCAGGCAGTTTGCAACTATGTACTCCTAATAATAAACCTTCCCTAATTAGGAAATACCTGATATTTTATATGTCCGCTATTTTCTCAATTTGTTTCCTCGATAGAACCCTCAAATACCGAACTGTCTGGTTCAAAACCGGACATCTGGCAACCCTACCATCTGGCAACAGCAGGGTTCCCTGTAAACTGGGCGCTTAGGTGGCCCCCCCAGAAGAGATTTAAATGCCGTTCAGCAGCATGTGTTGCTACATCCACACATGCCTTGGTACACAAAACAAAAGGAATTGTGTCATGGATGAAAAACTTAGAGGGAACATTGCTCCGGGGAATGAAAAAAGCCTTGGCTTCTATTCCTGGTTCTGTCCTGCTCGGTGTCCTCAGGCCTCTCACGCATCCACCTTCCTGTGCCTCAGTTTCCCCATCTATTTCTCTCCTGGATAAAAGAAAAAAAACAACAACAAATGGTCTGGTATATAGAATAACAAAACTTGTAGATGGTATCATGAGCTCAGTGTGGTTAATGCTAAACCCTCCAGCCAGGCCAGGTCTGCATCTAACAGGGTAGGTTTGACGAAGTTCTCTGTTAGCAAATCAGAAGAGAGGTTTTTGTCGATATATTTGATGTGTGTTTGACTCTCTGGCATCCGGAGATAAATAAAGACGCTGTTGGTGGTGGGGTGTACGGGACAGGAAACAGGTAGCAGTCACGATCAGTCACGGAGGGTAGCACGGCCAGAACAGAAGGGCCATGGTGTCCCTGCTGCCTCAGCCATAGGCCCTGACGAGGACTCGGAGCAGCGCTTGTGTCTGGGTTCACAGCCCAGTCCTGAGGGGCTAGCAGAGACTCTGCGCAGGGAAAAGGGTCTTTTGTGTTAAGCCCCGAGGGGCAGAGGGGGCAGGTCGGAGCAGACAGAGACTGCAGCTCATCCCCCGCCCCTCCACTGCATCTGGACCAGTCATCACTGGGCCATTTCCAGCCCTCTTGGTTCCTGCCACAGCCCCGATGCTCCTGCCTCTGGTCCTCTTGCTGTCTGGTGAGTATCTGGGACCCCGGGGCTAACTCGTGAGGGGCTGGGAGGACACAGAATCGAGAGCAGCCCCTGGCCCAGGGAGTTGGCAAAGAGCAGCAGAGGGGGCTGTGCAGTTGGAGGAGTGGGACTGTCCCAACCCAGCTCAGGGCCAGGACTTAGTGCCGGGCTGGGACCAGCAGTCGGGCCAGGCTGGGGTGACAGTCCCGGCTTCACTGAGTTTCAGGCCAGGAGGGACCATTGTCCCGTCCAGTCTGACCCGACAGCCCAGAGCAGAGACCTTCCCCCAGCTCCCTGCCCCCAGCCCAGTCACTGGTGTGTGACTCAAGCATCCCCGGAAAGGCCCCGGCCGGGCGGTGACTCCCCCACTGCCCCGGGGAGCCGGCGCCGGGTGAATCCCCCGCACGGGGAGAACCTGCTGCCTCCTTCCTCACTGGCCTTGGGCCAGACTCAGCGTCCAGCCCTGGCTCTGGCTCGGCCTGTCCCTGCTGCACTGAAGGTCCCGTCGATCCCC